CTCTTCATCCCCGGGATTGTAATATGGAATCTAGCCACAAAAGAAGATACAAAATCCTCAGCCTTATCGTTTCCAGGCTTAGGTGATATCTGGGTGATATTAGCTGGGTCTTCATTATCTGTCTGTCCAGATACCAATTTGTCAGCTGTGTCAATGTCAAGGTCATGAGAAGCCTCTGAACAGTTTTTCCTTCAAATTGGCAACATTGATACATGAATTTACATCACTGTAATTACGAGCATAGAATGTGGCCTCTGTAGAAAGCTTCACACTCCCCAATCTCTTTGCTTGTGCCAGAAACAGCAGAATCCTGAATGAAACTATTCCAGTTTTTGACCACCATTGTCGTCAGGTGTCAATGTGCAAGGCTTGTTCAGATCAGGAGAAAACTTCAAACCAGATAACTCATTTAAGTTGGCAGCATTTGAAAGTAGGTAAGTTCTCTGCAAGAATAATTGGCATATGGAACAGAGTTCCTTTTGGCTGCAGAACTCTGAGCTGCGCTCAAATTGAGGATCATCTAGTTTTGATTGCTCCTTCACATCTAAACATTATCCAAGGCATAAAAAGCAGGATATTAGCTTTGAAAAAACAAAAGAACCAAATTTCCAGTTTAGTTTTCTAGGATATTGAACAATTGGTCGTCTTGAAATAAAGATAATGTGCACCTCTTTGCTCGGAACATTTCTCCATCTCAATCTTCATTTGATTATAGCGAGCTCTGTAATTCATGGAACATATAGTAGCTTCTGCCTCAAGCCATAAATTCCTATACAGTAGAGTCTGAGAAATCTGCTCCTTCCTCATCATGGATTTCTCAATGAGAATCCTTTTCAGAGCCTATCAATCAAAGTATGCCAAAGCAATTAAATATTTTCCTTCCACTGTCTTTGTTACCTTTCTGTGGAGAGAGTAAAAGCATTAAAAAGTGGTGAATAACAGAAAATGCATTAAAAGCACCTTAATCACGTTATCTTCTTTCATCATGTCGCCTCACCCTTTGTAGGAAAAGAATCAGAAAACTTCCCTAGTTTACTGGATACAAAATGATGGTCTTTCGTCTCTTGAACAGGCAGATTCTCATGGTCA